ATTAGTACAAGTCAGTTTGTTTCGTGTACAAACAAAAACTGTGACACATTTGATTACTGTAAATAGTTAGTTATAGAAAAATAAAAACGTTTCATTTAAAATTTGTTTTATTTCGATTTCAAAACCGATTACATTTATTCTTGAGAAATTGTTTATATAAAAGTACCTAGATTATCATTATTATATATTGATAAATACATTTTAATAAATGATCACATTAAAAGACTTTTACATATTGCACTTAAAAACTAAGAGGCACTTATTGCCTTTAGTGAAAACTCACCACATGCGTATGATCCCTAACCATAACCCTTTATTATAATAATCTAATATACAAATATTAGCTAAGCGCTGGCTACCCTTTTTGGCTTCGCCTTAAATTGGGTAAAATAGATGCTAATAATAAAATTAGGCTAATAAAAATAAAGACAAATGAATAACTCCTGGCAGATAATTTGTAACAGTAGAGCTTCACGTGAACGGTTCGTCCAGAGAAGTACTGCCACTTTATCTATTTCTACCGCCAAGCAATAAAGTGAGCGAGGCGACATTACAGTCGCATTGTTTTTAGAAAAATTGCGTCGTTAGAAAATGTGAGTTTTATTTTCACAAGTAAATACACGGTATAAACAAGTATAATTTTCAATGGTACTAAGGACACATAGTAGTATCATTTGTACCATTGATGGTACAAATCAATGGTACTATAGACACTAAGGCTCGGTTTTGAAGGGTAAGGGTGCTGGTGAAATTGCTGGCACATGAGACTTGTTGTATGTCTCAGGATGACAGTGCAGAGAGTCAGATGTTTGTGATTTCAAGCCCTGGGTGACCCTGCAACTTCTATGGACAGGCGTGTCGCTTACTACCGGGCGTACGAATCCGTACCGTCACTTTGTATCATAAAAAAAGGTCTATAATAAAATATGTTTTAAAGAGGTAGCGAAAACTAGACTGCGATTATAATGCAACCATATTCCTCTTGCTGTGCCAACTCAAAATTCTTCATTTAAAAAGTTTTAAAAGCAATTTGAAAATATGGTTATTTGAATAGCTTGACCTGTTAACGATTAACCGACCGTAAAGTACCGATTTGCTATTTTCTTTTAGACTAAAAATACTCCTAAAATGGCTTCATGTTTTAATATTATTATAATATACCACAGCAAACTGTTAAATAGTTGTTTTGCTGTTTTGGTTGATAATAATTCGAATTTAGTTTTTAATTTCATATAATTACGTTGCTATTGTAAATATTAAAAATATTACGAAAGATAATATGCAAATATGATTAATTAATGTATCAAAAGATAAGAACTTCCTATATTCAAACAATACTTAATTCTATTACACTAAATCTTCAACAAAAATATAATACAATTGTTCATAACAAAATTATCTTCGAACGTGGTGAGCTTAATCACTATATTCCAATTTTATCAATAAATATAATACAAATCACCAGTTTAATAAGGCCTTTCGCTTAAGTAGGACTTCGCTATATTTAATTTAATTTGATTATACTATTATACTGGTTAGTGACGGACACATTTTATACTCTAGAGATCCTTTTCCTATGTATATAACGCTAAAGAACTCAACATGTTAAATGTGCCCATTAATTTTCATGCCAATGGATCTAAAACACTGAATTATTTCCGACATACGATATACGAGCAATAGATATAAAAATTTCATATATTTTCAAATATGTCTTACAACTTTTCATATTAGTGAGATCAGGAGGGGTAATATAATGGTTTAAGTCAAATGTTTTGAGCTCTGGGAAGAACAGACAGTCTTATAAGTTTTGAAGTAGGTACACTAAATTTACCTTTGTTTATCAACTTTGCATGTCTCACAATCATTACGCTAAATTCAATACTTAGGTACTATGTTATTGCCGAAAACGTGCAAAGTGCTAACATTTCTCTTCCCCTAAAAGATGGGGTAAGAGGAACGGCCATTGTATTTCTTATAATGGTAATATATGCATAACTGGCGTTCACAAGATTTCATAATTGTCAAATTTGCTTTTTCCGCCTTTTGGATTTGGAGCATGATAGCGACAACATAAATATTGTAGCGACATCTCTTTAAAATCGTTTAAACTAATTTCTTTGTCTGCTTTATCGACTAACACTAAACTCTTTAGAGTATTAGTTAAAACTTTAAGTCCGTCTTCCTCCGTGTTTCTCTCACGACAATATATGTATAAGTAGACGTTGGATGTGATACAGAAAGAATGTAAAGTCGGAAATAAGTAAGTTTTAGATCCATAGGATTCGAATGATACAAAGAACTAAATATCTAGCGCGTTTACAATTATTTACATTTATTGTAAAGAATAATATGGATAAAAATGCATTACGATAGGAATCAGAGTATATCAATTAAATTTTTATGTAATAAATTAATTATTGACTTCATTGAGGTTGGTTAAAATCAAAGAATGAGACGAAACTTTTTATGTGGTTAAAATTTAGGGTTTTCTTAAAATTCCAAACATCCATAAAAACGCGTTTAGAGTTTTTAGCAAGAATTCAGTATCCGTGAGGGAAATTTTCAAAGGCAAATTCTTAGTTAAACAACATCTAGACATAATTTTGTTCGTTGTGGCTGGTTGTATAATAAACAAGTTTATTTACAAATAATAGCTCTTACAATTAAACACACTAAGGAGCTAAAATAAATGAATGATTAGAATTGGCTAGTTGCCTATAAGAATGTAGCTGAAAAACTTTGATAAAACAGTCTGAAATCTGGTTTAGCAATACAAACTCTTACGGCAGTCAAACGCTTCGCTTAACATCACGTGAAATTGAGGCGAAGCGTATGTATATTTAACATTAAAAAAATATATATATAATTAATTATGTATTTAGTATTTCAAAATATGAGCTCGGGTTTCGCTTAACTATAACGCATACTTAAAAGCGAAAGTATGAACAAAATATACAATACAACATATTATTGACTTAGATCTTACGGACGACATTCGATTTTTTAGAATTTAAATAAGGTTCACAATGAAGATTATAAAAATTCTTTGCATTTTTCTGATTTATGTATCCAATTAAAAGCTAGTAGAGCACGAAACTAAAGACTTCGGAACCGAATTTAGAACTGTGCGTTACTTTTAGCAAAATACTTACTTCGCCCCTCACACGTGTAAAATATTATGAGGAAAGTACGTCTGAGCGCACAATACATTTCGTGATATTTACAAATTCCAACGAGTCAAAGATTGATCACCTGTTTAGACTAATCATTCGCACATTATAAAACAATAAATAATAAATTATAATTGTTATAAATTATAATAATAGTAATGTAATATATATGTACAAACACGCAAATCATTCCACACGAGAAAATCTCTTACAACATTAAAAATGATATGTTCGACTTTGAGTTTCAGTTTCATGTATAAAGTCAGATATAAAAAGTGAGGCGGTTGAACGCACCCTGTTTCCCTGAATTTAGTGATTCTATCTACCAATTGACTCAAAGACTTTTAAAATCCGCATGTGTAGGTAATTCATTTGAATCTGAGAAATGTATTCAAATACATTTACACCTCTACCTATCACTTAAATGAGTTCTAAAAAGACTGCAGCAGTGTTATACAAAACCTGTTTCCTCTTACTAATTTGAGTCACGCATAAACGTTTTGCGGCCACATTTCCATACGTTGACATAATTTATACATCACTTTGCCTTTTTGTCCAATTCCAGTTATAAATTTATTTTTGGACATGTTGTGGACTGTACCGTAACTTAACCTATATTGTTAAGGTTACAATATGATTCAAATAATGCCGTTTACCTGTAGCTTAAAGCTCTCTGACTTTTTGATCCGATGCAATAATTGAATTAAAACGATTTAGATGGATGATTCGGGCGACCACTGGCATGGTAATTCTATGACATAATTTTATTCAAGTACATTTTCGTCTTGAATCTCATTCAAAAGGATTCTTTATCCTCATTTATTTTATGTTGGAATGCTATGTTCCAATGACGCAATATCATGACAAAGGTCTTCCGAATAATAAAACGGAATTTAATTTACGCCCGTAAGGATCTAAACCGGAACCGTTTTTCTTCAAAAACGGCCTAAAATCCCTCTTTTCTTTTTGGGCCTCATATAAAATTTTTACAACAGTAGTAGGTCATATCGTGCAACCAGTTCTTGTTCCAAAGATTTTCTTCAGTTCGGGCATAAGCTGGCTCCTTATAAAGTGGTTTTGCTTGCTGGCTATGCGACTTCGCTTGGGATCTTTCTTGAGGCGTTTTATACCAGGTTTGTGGATAAGGAAGGCGTTGTTCAGGATCATGAAGTCGTAGTCTTTGACACAAAGGATGTAACCCTGAAGGAGTAAAATGTAGGAATTAATTACCGGAGTGTTGTATCATACAAGGATTTATAAATGAACTGCATTTGAATTTTTTTAGCACAAATAGGTATTATAGAGGAAAACGTTCTTGCGTTATCGTATTGTTGAAAAACACAATGGGAATACTTAAAAATAATTATTTATTACTAAAAATAATCATGAGTAACTCATGGGAATTATGATGTAGGACTTTAAAAATATAATTACAATATCTGGATTAAATTGTTTACTCTAGCTTTACTATAATAACAGCACCTAGTGATAGCTAGAATGGCATGGATTGTAAAGAATTTTGTTGATGATTTTTTACCTGAGGCATTTTATCCTGCTTGCCCTCCCAGCTGAGTCGCTCATCGTACTGTGGATCATGATGTGTGCCGATGAAAATCGGCTCCCAATGAAGGAATTTTCCTCGTCGCTTACCCACGTGGAACACATCCATCTCTGTAAGAATTTTTTTAATAATAGTTATACGATGATTTAATAATAATAAGTAATATGTTTGTTTATTTTCTCACCACAATATAGGTACAATGAGTGTGTGTGTTAGTGTGTGTGTGTAATGAAGGTGGGTGACTGTTGTGCGTGTAATTATGTGGAGGATGTGAGTGTGCAATGACGAGGAATTGAAATATGATTAGACAAGTGATGGTGTGCTGGCAAGGCGATCATTATGGAGAAAGTTTTCTTATTAAATAATTAAAATAAAATAAAATAATTCACATGTGAAATAATTATACTGGGACAGTAATTAGTAGTTCCGTATCCTCATAGGCAAACTGCTGAAGCCAATATCTTGCTTTCATTTTGCACTTTACCTTATTAAGAGTATATACAGAAAGTTTCGTATTTAATTGATTGTAGAGAAAACGACCAAGAAAGCAAAAGAAGCGTTTAGAAAACATAGTGTGGAGCCGGTAATGATGGCGGTCCACAGGGTTGATCCGTCTTTTCCCACGAGACAGAGAGGGGTTAAACGTAAGGAGTCGATGCTGTTTTAGCACCGTTTGTAATATGAACAGCTGACGTACAGTTAAAACTTTAACCTCTTTGTATAAGAGAGAAGTGGAGTATCGAAAAAGGCGGAAAGAAGATACCTTCAGAATAGCTCTCTGCGTTCTTTCTAGTTCCAAGATTGTACGTTTTGGAGCACCACCCCAAGATGGTATATAGGAAGTAAGTAGAGATTGGACGAGAGCAAAATAAACTACTTTCCTTAGTTTTTCATCGGCCACGAATCTCAGGGTCCTAAATCATAAGTATATCAATTTACGTAGTCTATTATTTAGAGTGTTGATGTGCTCATGGAAAGTTAAGGTGGTATCCAAGATGACACCTAAGTACTTAATACTGTCAACTTTGTGGATGCGCGTGCAGGTACATGCATAGTCAGTTTGGTTGTGACAGGTGCGGGCTATCACCGAAAGCAGAGGCATTATAGGCATTGTTTGTTCTTTTTTTCTTAAGGAGAAGGTGATATATTTCGTTTTTTCCACTTTTAGTGTGAGAACATTACTATGCAGCCACTTCATCACCACATTAAAGACTGTCTGAGCCTCCGCATATACTTCGTGCCAAGAATTGGCGTTAAAAAGAAGGACAGTATCATCTGCAAAGGTTATAATTTTACCTTTAGGGGGAGTAATCATACCCAGCTTGTTGATGTACATAAGAAAGAGAGTAGGACCAAGTACGCTGCCCTGTGTAACGCCGTAGATGACAGCACAGTCTTCGGTGATGACGTCATCAATCTTAACGCACTGGGTACGATCACTCGGATAGTTCTCGAATAATTTAATTTGAATACCCCTGATTCCCATTCTTTCCATTTTCCTAATGAGAAAATTTAATCTCAGAAAATACGTTAAAATTTGTAAGTGTTTTGACACGGAAATGAAATTTGTTAAGATTCAATGGAAGACGTTTTGACTTTGATAAGGCAATCCAATTTATATCAAGACATTTAATTTTCGGAACGTAACAGAGCTACTTTTGAAAGAGTTCGTCCAGGTAAATACTGCTACCTTACCTATTTCTGCCGCCAAGCAGTAATGGGAACATTAACTTCGTTCTGGTTTTGAAGGGTAAGGGTGCTGGTGAAATTACAGACGCATTCTCAGGGTGACGGACGCAGTGGCAGCGTCCATTAGATTTTTGTGATTCATAGCTCTGAGTGACACTGCCACTGCCATGGACAGGCGTGTCGCTTCTAACGACTTCTAAGTCTAGATCGCGTACATATCTACAAACAACCCTTTCAAACAAAACCAAAAAATAAGGTTTGTTTGAAAAAACATATACGCGGTTTTTAGATCCGAAAACATAGATTCTTTTGAAATATGTAACAATAGCGACAACCCAAGAACTAGATAACTAAATAAATGTTAACGCTTTATAAATTGCGAAATTGGACCTCCACAATTGCTAATAAATTTCAAAAATTTAAAATTTTCGATCATCCTGTTTTAGGCTCGGTGTTTTTGAGACCTGCTTCTTTAATGAATCACGTCTGCAAGCAGGTTTTAGTGCGGTCTGTCAAAATTGTTCGTAATTTCAGTTAAATTGCAGTTCAAGCTGAAGTAAAAGTTTTTGATTTTTGCAAATTGGCGTAAGACTTGGAAGCCGGTCGACGACGGCGGGTAAGGCGCGGTCGTTGACCCATAATACGCAATTAGAATGCCCCATACGACGAACAAGCGTTGCTGCAGACGGCATAAATAGCCCATAACAAAACGCCACCAGGATCATTGTTGCTGCATCGTAATTAATATGCCCACTAATGGGCTTTTAAATTGCTCACTCCAAATTGGTCAATAACGAAACGCAATCATTTATATTTAATGCTGTAAAGATGAATAATAAGAGCAAGTCGCATCTTTCGAATGGAAGTGACGTAAGAAAAATTTTCAACTTTTTGGAAATACGGAAAATAAGTTTCGAAGTTGTGACATTTTCACATAATTCAATTTATTACTTTGTAAGTACTAAAAGGAACGGCTTTGTTAATCCTAGAAAATAGTGATGAACCTTCAGCTTTATATCCTCAAAAATGATACCTGATTATCTTAATATTTGACTACTTTATTTCAAAATATAATTTACAAAATTGAGTAAAATGACAATTTGAAACGTATTAAAGTGACTTATATAGAGAGGGACATTCTAGCCTTAGTTAGTCCCAAATTAACAACCTTATGAACAATGATTTTCATAGTCGTTTTACGGTATAAACTCATTTTCTTAATGTTTTGAATTAGGTCACTTTCATTCTAAAGGTATGTGTCAATTTTTTCTTAGGTTATTGGAATTGGTACACATTGAAAATGAAACTATTTTTTTTTCGAGTCTAAATCGCGTATTTTGTTTTTTCAAACAAACCAACGTTTCGGGCCCTTTTACAGATAGGTACCATGGTCGCGGAAGACTGAGATAGTAAAGTCAAGTTATGTTTATAATGCAAATCACCACATTTTTAAACGACTTCAAAACAATGAGAAGTTTCTCAATTCGACTGTATTTTGTTTTTTGTATGTTACACGATAACTTCGGCTACATAAATAATACATATACGGCTATGTAACAAATATACATTTGTGGACCGATTTTGATGATTCGTTTTTTTGTTGGAAAGAGAGTCCCTCGCTATTGGTGGCATATAAATTTGAAGAAAATATTCCACCTCTAAGGGTGGCAAAGTAGGGGATAAATCCGGGTTCGCGTGCTTTCCGATAACCGATTTCAATAAAACTTGACAAGTACATATACCTATGTAATTCCACGAACTTTTGAGTTCGGTTTTTTTAGTACTCTGTACGAAGATTATTCTCTATAGTCACAAAAGTTATTTATTGAAATACTTTATCCTTAATTTCACAAACTTATCGATTAATATAAAATGAGTAATTTATATCTAGATTCATTCATATTAGATGTTTGTTCCATGATAGAACGATAAAGAATACGGTACCGAATTTTTTATTTTATACTTTAATAAGTAGCGGGACGAACTGTTGATAAGCGACACGCTTATTCATAACAATTGCAGTGCCACTCAGAGCAACTTCGCCCGTCACCTTAAAGCATAGAGTTGACGAGTCCCAAGTGTCTGTCGTGTTATTAACACGTTCACGTTTCAAACGCAATGCAGTATTGATCACAACTCATCACATCACAGGTTGGCGGCAGAAATCGGTAAGGCGTCAATACTTTCCGAAACAAAGTCTTTCACCAGAAGCTCTACTGCTACTAAAAATATTAGTACGTTGTAAGGTCTACCGTTAATAAACGAAATCCCAATAGAATACTTACGGTTGGTCTCTTTGGCGGCCATCCACTGCGCACCTTGGGGAATATTGTGGCAGTCGGGGCACACGAACTTATGGAACGGAATCGCAGTTTTTTTCTTCAACATTTCTTGCAACTCCGTCTTGGTCGAAGGTACCTAAACGAAACTGGAGATTAGACATACTATCCACAGACTGCCCTAAAGTACAACTTTGGTAGCTCGGTGGATAAACTCTCTAGTGATGTAACTTGAAAAAGAAAACGTTTTTTGAAAAAACATGAAAAAGCAGCACGCTCAGAGATGGGCAAGCGCCCGGGTTTTAACCCGGCGCTTTGTGTACACTTGGTTTAAATCAGGTTAAAGCCAATCGAGGCCAAAACCTATTTACAATTAAATATTTGTAAATCAAGTTTTGTTCACATATATAATGATATTATTACAAAATGTTTATTACTTGCTTACATACTTCGCCTATTATTCAATCGGTTCGCTTGAAAATAGCACTAAGACGAATGTATACAAAACTCGTTATCGTTTACTTTGAATCAATTTTCTTAATAATCGTTATGTGCATCCCTCATAGTACGAGAGACCACAAGGTGGGTATTCTGTATTATTACACAATATAAAAGAAGAATATTATTAACTAAAGAGACAGAGTAGTTCCAAATTAAATATAAAAAAATATGCCCCTGTCATATTTTTATTTTCATAGTTTTAGAAAAAATCTACTTCAGAAAAAAAACTGTTTATTTCATTGCTTTTTCACCTCAGAAAACAACGTTTTTTTTAAACTTGCTCTAGACACACCAAGAATACTGAATTTGAAAACACGTTTTTCTAAATTGAGTCAAGTTTATACATTTTGAATAACGCTCTCACTTTCGTTTAATGTTATAGTAAAAGTAATTATATTTTATGATGGAAGAAAATCCACCATAAAATATAATTACTCTTGCCATATATTAAACTTTATTTTGAAATCAACATTTAACTAGAATATTTATAGCGCAAGGGTTTATAACCAACGATGTAAACCCTCATTAGTTTAGGTACCTAGTAGTGGGGTACTTATTTTATTATATTACTGTATATTTTTACTACCCACTTTACGTTATAATATTATGTTGGCCATAATTATAAACCTAAAAAGCATATGATAAACTATCGAGTTAAACTTAAGGCTTCGTGGGGCCCGGTAAAGTACTCTTTCTGATTTCGTGCAAGACACGATGATTCACTAGCACGGCCGGGCGCTACATACGCGAGAGCAACGTACAGAGCGAGAGCTATATGCAAGAATAGCAGTATCTCGCGCGTTATGTCGCTTTTGCACTTGTCGCGCTCTGTCGTGCCAGCCCTACACGGAACTCAAGCCGAAAATACCCCATAGCTTACGTGTACTACGCCATTGCACATAAGCCACAGACTTACATATTGTCTTTAATATTATCTTTTATTGACGACCTTCGTTGTTTGCACACCTGTTTTCATGGTGTCGCCATCTCTGAGGTCCAGAGTTCGATCTCCGGCCAGGTCAATGTAGAAAAACTTTTCTGTATAGTCTCAGGTCTGGGTGTTTGTGGTACCGTCGTTGTTTCCGATTTAAATAACACATGTGCTTTAGTTACTTACTTTGGGATCGGAGCAACGTATATGATGTTATATTATTTATTGTTTGTGTATTATACTAATGTTCCTGTGTGAATCACAGTATACATATTTCGTATCTTAGGGGAAGTGAACACCGTCAACGAATATTTAAGCGATGGATTTAAAAAATATTATATCTACAATGTTTAAAAATAGTATTCTGTATATAAACAATATACTATAATAAAAATATAATGCAAATAATAATAATAACACAACATACTCATAACCCTGTGCCGCGGGTGCCATGGACACACAAATAGACAACCACAAATTAAACCCAAACTTACGAGAGAAATAAATATCGGCCATACACATATTTCTTCCGGTTTAGGACCGAACCCAGGACCTCTTCGTGGCAGAGCAACATAGTAACCGTTCGGCCACACAGGCAGTTAAAAATAAATATCATAAATAATCATCGTGTCTTACACAACATTATAATAATAAATAATAACGTACACACTCATAGACCCGCACGCGCGAGACCCTGTGTCGCGGTTGCTATTGACACACACACAGACAACCACAAATTACGCCCAAATTGTCAGTGAATAAATAAATAAATATGAAATTGAATAGAATGTAAAAATAATGTTATTGAAAACGATTTCATTAAACGATGTCAATATAATAGATACTTACTTATACAATAGAAGACTGTCAAAGCTACAATAATAATATAAAATAAAAAGTATGTGAATATATAGTAACTACCACTCTATTATTGTCATGCCGTACTGGGCCCATTATTATTATTATTATTATTATTATTATTAGGGTAGCTTCATTGTGATCACCACTAATCACAGCTCAGAGCCAAGACCAACAGGCATTAAGGAACTGAAGGACTTTCCTGGCTCCGACAGTCTTTATGTCCTCTGGGTGTGACCTGTGCCTACCCAGTATGGAACTTCTCACGCCCATCAGAAGGCAGCACTGGGTGAGGAGATGCGCAGGAGTTTCATCCGCCTCGTGGCAAAATCTACATTCTCTGTCTTCTCTCTGTCGAATATGTGACATATGCTTATTCAAGCCACCATGTCCTGTTAAGGCTCTGAGGCCGGTTGCCATTCCTGTCCAGTGACAGAGCTTCTGTCCAGTGTTTGCCACTGAAGGCAGCTATCAGGGCTTTAGAATGCTCAAGACCCTTAGTCCGCAGCCACACGTCTCGGGAGACGTGGAAGCTTTCGTTCAGCAAAGTGAGCTTTGCCAGGCTGTGTGCTATTCCTATAAAGGGCTCAGGACCAATGAAGGCCTCCCTAGCACCAGCCTTTGCCTTTGGTCAGAGTGACCAGGAACCCAACGCAGGACTACATTATTCCTTTCCCCGAGAGTATTCAGTAATCAGTATAGTTATGCAGTTCTCTACAATCCTCGAAGTTTGGGTGACTGAGGTTAGTGCATGCAGAGCGGCTTGACTATAAAGTTTATATAAATATAATTGTTAATATAGCCTCTCTTCAGGTTTAGATACGCACAAGCAATTATGGCGTATATTTCGACCTGAAAGATAGAGGAGTGACGTCTCATGTTCAGCTTGTAGCTGAATCTGTGTGGGTACTGGGCCCATAAATGTGTTTAAAACGATTGTAACATCTATACTCCTTATGGAGAACAATAAAATTATTGAGTATTGAACGAACGTAGAAGATAATTCAAGAAGGTAATGATTGCGAATTAGCAGTCGGTAGGTAATATAAATACATATGAAAATATCTGGAAACAGCACATGTGTATTAAATACTTACTTGAACTGAAGCGTCAACTTCAAATATGCTTATCGGGAAGACTCTAGGATTTACGGAAGTGCTCAAAGGTTTTTCATTTCTCGCAATCATATTCAGGAACCTTGATATTAAATTCGGACTTGGATACAATTCTATATCTGATGGCAGTACAAAATGTGTTAAAGCTGCGTCTCTGGCGATGTTTCTTGCGACGTTCACGGGGTATAGAAGATTTTTTTGCTTCATGAATGTGGTTGTGGGATCTACGTCGTACGGTGGCGGGCTTGAGCAGTTGTATGAAGTTGCCAGGAGGGTATCTATATTTGGAATCTGAAAAGGAAAGAAAAACAAATTTTGAATGTTTTCAAAAATTTTAAGTTTAAATATTTAAATATCATGATGTTATACTACCATGATTTTTTGTTTGTTTTTTTGTGAAATTACTCCACCAGTTTGTTACAAAGATCGAACACTAAGAAAACTCCCTTCGATCCGGCTGGATTCGAACCTTAGACCTTATGTCAATTTTTCTATGAAACAAGCATGTTGCAGATCTTTGTTTGGTTTTTAATGACGTTTTTTGCCGTAACGCCATCTATGAGAAATCTATGAAAGTTTTTCTTCACGCAGCTAGGTACTTTTACATCTGCCAGTGACTGAGTAGAAATATCGGTTTAATATTTGTAATATAAAGTTCATTGAATATATTTTACTACCGTTTATAGGTTTTCAATAATTATGAAAGTTTCTAATCTCGAATCTGAAAATACAATTCGGTTTAGGGCCATAACTAAATGTTCAGATGTGCTAGATCGAATTCTAACGTGTAGAAAGTTTATTTCCACTTTATAAATAAAAAACAACAAGTATTGTTTGAAGTATTGTTAACTGCCTCTGTGGCCGAACGGTTACCATACCGGACTGCCACGCAGAGGTCCCCGGGTTCGATTCCCGGGCCGGGAGAAATATTTGTATGGCCTACATTTATTTCTCTCGTGAGTTTGGGTGTAATTTGTGGTTGTCCATGTGTGTGTCCATGGCACCCGCGACACAGGGTTTCCCTAGTGCGGGGCTATGTTGAGTGTGTGCGTTATTAATATGAAAAAAAATCTAAGAAAAAAAATACTATTCATAATAAATATTTTACCATGTTTTCGACAGCGGTCAAACTGCTAATTAGTCACCTCGATATCGTACATTCAATAATAAAAATATCGCTGACTCATCGCTCCAGATTATTACATTCAGCTCACGTCACTGTGTGTCTGGCATCAAGTCGAGCAGCGACAAAATTACGTAAAACACATTAGCATAGGATCTTGGCAAGTCTGATTTATAACCTCTCAAGCAGGCGAGAGCTTTGTCTGCTGCGTTAAAGAAACAAATGATAGCGATATTGTGGATTTACGGAAAAAAATCTAACGTCGGAATTTTATCCTTTCTTGGTCTTCATAATAATAAAAATAAGCGCGACGTTGTTTTATTGTTCTAAACAGTCGTTTGCTTAGTGAAAGGAAAGCATATTAAACTTAATACTGAACACACGAGTTCATGTTGGTGCGAACCGGTTGTGTTTTCACATAAAAGTTTTTGCATGAATATTTTATATAATTTATAGGTTCAGGCGTTATTTTGCGGAAATTTACGTTAATAAAAATGGAAGTAAATTACTTTGCTATCCCCGCGAATTCAGTGAATTCCCTCCGCAGTAAATGAATGTAACAGTAACACAAATGCAATCACAATCACGCTACGGAAACACTCTAGTATTTGAGCCGACCATAGAAGGTCATCCTCATCATCCATTTTATTCAGAACCTAAATATCAAACTTACGTACTGGGAATGGAGGTCTTATTTAATTGGACGTCTCGAGGCCCATGGCGTTTGACACAAAACACAGATTAAAAATATGTTATAATATTTATTGTTATAATAAGTTTTTATTGTAGTTAAAACTTTAATAAATTTTACATTAAAAAATCTAATTTTGAGACCATAATCACGATGTAGAAAGGATGATTGTCGGACTCGACATAAAAAAAAAATTAGACCGTTAATTTTCTTTTCTAGAATTCTGAGTTTTTCTTTTCGCTTTGCGAGCGAAAGATTTACTGACTATTCCTAATAAAACTTTTATTATTTGTTGCAGAAACAATCAGCGGCCAGCTTGTCTTTTCGTTTTGTGTTTTCAGAGATATGTCTCGTGTTCACAGGTTCCTCGTCGACGGCTGTTCATCCACGTCGGAGACAGCAAATGTCGTGTGCCGGTGGCCTCGCAGCGTAGATCTGGAACGAGTATGGATAGACCTCCTAAGGTCTCACAGCTCAAGATCAACATCGTCGCTTACGCACTGGAACCGCATTCATTGGCATGCCTATGTGAGTTATTTTACACAGCAAATATCTTTCTAATTTGTGCACAGCAAAAGCGACCTCGGTGGCTGAACGATTACCTATATGCCCAAATATTATTATAATCAACGAATGCATTAATACGGCATTCCTCAATGGACATCGTAATGAATGCATTTGCATGGAGAGCAACCGACTGAATTTGAGATTGAGGGGCAAAGTTTGTTTACTCAAGAAGAGTTTATATGGACCCAAACAAGCCAGTAGAACCTGGAATGAAAAGTGCATAAAGTTTTAATTACCAATGGCTATAGTCAATTACAGACTGAAAAATGTACCTATTACAAAGACAAGGCCATCATAGCACTTTATGATGATGACTTCTTCATATTTAGTTCAAATGAACACCAAAAAAATATGCTATATAAGTTGCTTAGTTCCAACTAGCTACGGACTCAATTTTAGTAGAGGTAGTAGTAGTAAAGTTGAAATCTCATTTGACGCAGATTGGGCTGGGGATAAGACTGATCGAATGTCATATTCAGGGTTTCTGAGTAGGTTCGGCTTTTGCATTGTAAATTGGTACACAAACAACAACAATGTGGCTTGTTCTAGCACTGAAGCTGAATACTATGCTCTTTCCAAGAGCATAAGCAAAATTTCTGCAAAAGAGGCAAAATTTTTAAAATTGTTTTTATTCGAACTCAAATACAGCAGCCTGTCACCAACAGAACCTATAACGATTTTTAATGATAATCGTAGCACACTCAAAAAGGTAGAGAATGAATGTTTTAGGAGAACCAAACAACGTACCTTATCAACGTACCTTCAACATACTTTAAGACAAGTATTTGTATCATTGCCTAATAATAATAGAGTTTCAAACAACTAATCCCTATTTCAAGACTCTTAATATTCTCGGTGATTCTAAGGAAGTAACGCATAAGTGTCTCATAAAACTTGAAGCCTTAAAAAAACATGAGAGATAAATATACATTTGAAATGTTAAATTGTTTTAAAAGGCATTCAATATTTGTAATTTGAAATGTAAGCACTATATCCACAAAATTTATTAAATTTCAGGTTTGCAGCCTTCACTTTGAGGATAAATTTATGGAAGATGATAAAAGAGTGCCTTTCTCATGGCCTACATTATTCTCAGAAGTGGAAATAGCATATCGAAAACTCACTTGTCCTGTAACTGTCCGTAAGTATTCAGTGGTTTAGTGGCTACAGATACTTATACATTTATTATATTAATAAGATATTACTTATAAGTTATTTTTCTTACATTTTAGCTGTTCGGACAGTGGGAGATCATACTTATGCTGTACCAATGCAGATAAATGCAGACTTGGTGACCCGGAAAAGAAAAAGGACCACAGAACACAGACCACACACACAATAATCAACATATCGACTGACTAAAATAAAAGTGATGTTACTTATTTTAACAAGCTCGATGGTTTAACACGACAATGTGACATGATAATGTGATTTCTCGGTGTTTTCAAGGATTTAGTGACACTTTATCTATGTACTTTTCCGAATTTAATATGTAATAATTTTGTTGGTGTATCGAATTTTGCATAAACGATTTTTATAATTACTATTGTGAGTTCGATAACTTAAAAAAAAAACTGATCTAACGATTTTGTGTTTACTTCACTACAAATCTTTTGATATATAATTATATATTTCTTTGTTGTTTCTAATGTTGGAAGATGCGAAGAGAGTGATAAATCTGAAAAAGACGCCACTAGAATTTAAGTTGCAAATTAAAGTAAAAATTAATTAGACTTTGTGTTTAGTCGGCAGATGTATTACTATAAACGAATGTTGTTGGTTTTTGACTTATGTGCTCTAATCTACCATGCGACCTTTTGTTTAATAATTGTGTTTTGTTACCATTCATTAATTGTTACATTCAAAAGATGTGTGACTGGGAGATTCTTTCGCCGTTTCTTCTCCCATGCGGTAAGACCTTTACGAAACGGTAGTAGCTTTCGTTATTAATACCTAATTGAAAATACAGTATTTTATTTTAAACCACAAAACATTAGCAATATGAAAAAGTAACTAGGACCGATGAAACCGTAACCGTTTACCGTAAAAGTGCGATACAGGACATCACTAATAGTAACCGATCCATAAAGGTTTGAGGCGCGTCACTATTCGGTACACTAGCGCCACCAGAGTGCTGTCACGGGGCACGGAACTACCTCTACGATCGTTCCGTTACAGGGCCTGTTTCCTATCTGTTCCTACTATATCTTTCTAATTTGTGATCACAATCACAAATCACCACGAACAATATACTCGACGAGTGTTTAGCCTCTACGAGGCATCCTCTGTTGTTGATTGTTCGACCCGCGCTTCTGCATAAATATGACCAAACGCTCCCGTTTATTTGCGAGGGTATAAAACATGTTTTAGAACAATTACTACCTAGCTCGTACCACAATTTACTTGTACATAGATAAAAAGGTTTAAGGCCTATAAAATGGGCTACTTGGGCATAACATTACCTATTTTTGCTATAGCGAGGTATTTTAACGCGAGCTTACAATTTAGGAGGTGAGGTGTGGGGGTCACTCGCGTCCCGCAACCCGTATGTTGACAATTAATGTGAATAAAATAAGAACAGACGGAAAAATAATTATACAGAACCCTCATCGACAAGCGCACGATGGCGACTGACGAGGCAGCGGGCGGCGCGGTGTGTCATTAAACCGCTGGGCTATTTCCAACTTTTGTGATAAATGCGAATTTAATAACCATAGGGATTCAGTTAAAAACCAAAATTTCGTAGGTTCTCTGTAGTATTTAAATATCTCCATAAAAAATTATGTGCAAAGTTAAATATTTTGCTCTTAAATAATTCGTTTCAGACTTTTAAGCCTGTTTTCAGGATTTTATATGATCGAGTAAAGTACATCATATCGTGCCACAAATTACACAGTGCATATTCTTTAGACGATATCCTTAGGTGTATCGTATATTTTTTGTAGGACCGTTATTTAGAAGTAAATCCCTAAACCGTTTCATCTAGCACAACAGTTTTTCCCCCTTCTCCTCTTGTGACTCGCCTTAATAAAAAAAATCGCCCAAAAAAGATTATTAGGGATCAATTGCATTACATTTTCAATTCAAACAAACTTTATTAACAAAGTGCCGCAAAAACATTTGAAAAAAAAGACGAGAACGTGACACGTTACGCTATGTAAGATACCTACTACATTATCTTCAGGTTTGGAATTTACGAAAATAAAATAAATTTCTTTTGCCAATTTTCGAGTTATAAGATAATTGTTTTAAATATGAAGACTGATTGATCCCAAATCGGTGCATATATTAGTGTTTAAATTATGCGATACCTACCAAGTTCTTATGTTTTTGCGATAGTTACACATAGGAAATGAAACATTTTGACCATGGAACTTGTAAGGCACGAAACACAGACCCGAAACGTTGGTTTGTTTAAAAAACCAAACATATTATCCGATCTGACTAAATAGTTTCATGTCCTATATCATAATCTTATTTTATCTGATAAAATTTTTAAACGTATATTATTATATTTGCGTGCTTTTGTTGAAAACTGACAAGAATTAAGTTTAATTTAATTTTACCGGCAATATTTATAATGTAATTAAGGTAAATATATGATTATTTTAATTTTCTTTTCTACTTTTGTTTTGTTTTATAAAGTATTTCATCTGCCCTATTAAACTAATCCTATCATTTAACAAATTCCACACTTTATTTTTTTTTTCGTACAAATATCCGTTAATAATGGTTATACCATAGTATAATTAAGACACGTAGTGTAACTGCATGCAAACGTAGCAGCATGGCTTGTATGTGCGTACGCCAGTCGCGCGCCATGTAAGGGCTCTTACACAAACACGATACGACGTCGCGTAGTAGCACGACGCGTCGTCGTAGCGCGAGTGGTTGCATTCGCTATTCCTTATAAAATTAAAGCGTGCGTTCACTCGGTTTTTAAACATGGCATCACATAATCATCAATCATCATTTTTTTATTGCACTGTTAATAGTTACCTATTTCTGCCGCCAAGCAGTAACGTCAGCATTACTGTCTTCCGGTTTTGAAAGGTAAGGGTGCTGGTGAAATTACATGCAAATGGGACTTGTCAACTTATGTCTCAGGGTGCGATTTAAAGCTCTGAGTGGCACTGCAACTGTTATGGACAGGCGTACATGCCTCTCCATACAGGCGCACACCATCGGGCACAGGACTTGTTCGTGCCGTCACTTGATATTATAAAACAGTTGTTTGAATAAGAATGTTCCAAATCCAAAATTGTTCAGCATTTTATTTCTAATTCGTAATCATACTCCCATAATCGAGATACCAATACGTGATGGTGGTATACAAATATCAATACTTAAGTACTGCATTTGACAAAGGTTATTTTAGTATAGCACGTGAATACTGTGATCAATACATTTTTTTTTTCGAAGTATGTTTACAACCCAATAGGAACAATTAAAAAATCATGTGACAACCCTACGCTCCGAGCGAAGTGTAATCATTGACGCCATATGGATAGAACCATTGACTTACAAATAAATGGACGACGGGTCTAATACAAAAACCACGAAAAAAATGTCCCAAGTCAACCTATTTAAACGTAGTGACATGTAAAGGAATATGAAAAAGCTAAAACGTTGAATTTAAATTGTAATGTCATCGCAGTATTGTCTAATTTTGCTTGTTTCGCTGTCAGTCGAACAAACGAAGACTAAAGTGCGAATGACGCTCTGTATACGATTTTAACGCCCTATAAATTCGGACATTTTTTAGCGCGGACCCGACGTCCATATAATTGTAAGTCAATGCCTAGAACTGACGGGTCCTACACTACCTACTTGTTATAAAATGGTTATACTGACAGCGACAATCCATGTTATATACTTACTGAGCTAGGAATATTCTTGAAGGAGAAGAATAGATGAAAAGTGACGAGTTGTCGCACGAGGTCGGTTTTCAGGCAGTCTCGAAGGTACCTGATGCTGTTCACAGTGGGTTGCAAGTCGGCGCCTGGTGCAAAGATAGCCAAGCTCACTGGGCCCATCCATCTGCGGATAAAGAAAACATCATAAAAATTTCAAGTTTTCTTTACGTCCTTGGATTCACACATCACATCTAAAAACATATATTAGCGCAAGCATACAAAGGGGGAAAGTTTAGATCCAATGCTGCGGGTACCTAATTTCATGCATTTAGGCCATTCATATGTTTCTTACACTTTTAAGTTGATGCACACGACTATACACATTATTGCTATGTTTTGATAAATCTCTTTAAAATGCTGCAACCGTACGATAATGACGCGTCTAGAACATTAGTGTCCACAATATTCATGGCTGTTGACGCAAAAAATATAAGTCGTTAGAAACCATTCCGCATACACATTCGCAATGGTAGAGGTTAAACTGCGAGTAACTTGTCTGAATTGTTAAACGCTGTCATTCCACATACACATTTTTCATCACTGTCGTGAGCAGTGTGTGTGAAGTGACCCAGGTCACGCGATCGCATCAATTTGTAGGTTTTACGTTCATTCAATACGTGGCAGATGTGTAGATATAACTTTTCAATATATGTTATTCATAGTTTTTCCCAGGGCATATAATAATAATAACGCATATACTATATACTCATAGTCCCGCATTAGGAAAACCCTGCGAGTGCCATAGACACACACCATAGACAATCACAAATTACATCCAAACTTACGAGAGAAATAAATGTAAGCCATACAAATATTTCTCCCAGCTCAGGAATCGAATCCGGGACTTCTACGTGGCAGATCAGCATAGTGACCGTTCGGTCAGAGAGGCAGTATAAATAAATCTTTCAGAGTCTATGCAAAATGTCCAATTTTTTCGAAAAAAAAAGCGTATTGTTGGCTTCTTTTGTAAGGTTCTTGTGTCCGTGTAATTTTAAACCTATATAATTCAATGGAAAAGTGATAGTAGAGTATAGTAGAGTTTGTATGTCCTTTGATTTTTTTTTCTGTTGATACCTGTCAATCAAAAATAGGATTCAACGTGGGCTTTGGTCTGTGACACGTGCTTCTTATCTTCATACGCAGTTCCTTTGATTGTTTGCCTTCTAGTTTAAATAATAATAAAAAACTTGAAGGAATACCTATAATATCTCATCTTAATACTCAAGACTACAAATTACGTTGCCAAGATATTTAATTCAATAAATTAGAAAAATCAAATAACGATAACAGTCGTATTTGCAGTCGTATACGCCCAGTCCTGGGCGTCTCTGCATTGTTAACAAGTTTGTCTATAAACAAGTATAAAGTACAATGAGATATAGCAAGTGGTATTTAATCAATATAATGGTGGTTGTGAGTCGCGTGACTGACGACATTTACGCCTCTGTCCTGCCACAGGTTGATCGCAGTGTGCCGTGAACGTATAACTGGACGGTCTACTTTAGTTATGACTATGAAATACCTATGATTTTCATTATCTGGTAGTGAAATTAACTGTCATTATTCATTATTAATGTATTAATCACTGTAGGTGAAATTAAAACACATTAACCAAAATATGGATACCGCTGCTGTGGAGGGATTTTTGTGTGATATAAAGGCTCCAAAATGCCTTGATTTGTTTTTACTCTATACGTAGTCACATATTTTCGTACGATTTTTGGGCTATTATGTTTATTTTGACAGTTTATAGAAGATATACCTTACCTATTTCTGCCGCCAAGCAGTAATGTCAGCATTACTGTGTACCGGTTTTAAAGGGTGAGGGTGCTGATGAAATCACAGGCATGGGACTTGGTAACTTATGTCTCAGGGTGATGAGCGCAGTGGTAGTGCAGATCTTTGCAACTTAAAACTCTGAGTAGCACTGCCACTGTTACGGACAGGCGTGTAGCTTACCATCAGAAGCACGACTTGTTGGTCCCGTCACTTGATGTTATAAAAAAATAAAAATCTAAAAATTTACTCGGACGTATGTAGTGGCAGAAAACTTTTTATTTGTTAAAAAAAAAACGGGTTACGTAAATTGACTTTTCGAGGAAATGTGCCATTTGCGGTGCGTAGTTTAAACGATACTACCTTTAGTATATCTTTAAATCGTAAACATTTTCCGTTAATCATTAAACTCCTACTTTAATGCTATAAAATCCTAGACCTCTCCCTAATCCCTAAAGGTGTTTCGAACACCTAACGTAGTTAATGGCGGCAGACTCAAAGGTATCCGTAGTAGGTATCATGGCAGTAACAATGGTTATTATTGCATCAATAAACGCCAGTCATCTGTTCGGTAGCTATAGAAAAGCCGCCGGTTACATTACATATAACGTGTTAGTTATTATTCCGGGTCTTATTCTGGACACCTCTAATACCTTTTTTAATTATTTATAACGAAGTTCTTTTTGCGATCTAATTTTATGTGTTGCGTTGATATCTATGTCTTTGATAGCAATTTTTTACACATTGTAAAAGAAATTTACTTTGGCCTGACGAATTTCGATGATGAATATTCACTCTTTTCAGAATACACGTGTGTACATTATAATAATTAGTACAGTTTTATTAATAACCCAAATAATGCTAAACACTGTGCATTCCGTACGATTTAATAATTGACAATTTAATTAAATCTACGTTGACACGTGCATGCGCATTGTGGTTCACGCATTGCACAATTTACGCGATTGTGTTGTTATATAAATGCATGTTAAAGCTGATTTAACATGAAATAACATAACAATTTGCGGCATAATTATAGTTCACATAGAAATAGTGTACATCACAGTAAAACTTTGTTATTTTCTAATAATGATATTTATGCGTATTTATTGAGAGTTGTGTATCTGCCTACCCCTCCTGTGGGACTAAAGTTTTGTAAAATTTTGTACAATATTATTTTAAATGATATCAAAGTATGTACATAATTGTTTTATATGTGGATGGTATTTTCATGCACACAAAGAAAATTAATAATTAAATATTTTTTATATACGAAAATAGCATCCATATATTAAATAATTAAGTACTTTAGATTCATTTAAAGAAATGTTGTAGAAACAAATTGAATGTGAGTTTTACCTTTTTTGTGCTGATAGCCTCAATTTTGATTCCATATGTCATACCCTTTATGAACAACTATGATAAAAAAAGCATTTCAACTCAACATTTGTGCAACTTAAAAAATTGTGTACTGATGAATCTTGTTGAAGTTGATAATTTTTCTCCAATAATATCGTTCGTTAGTAAAATCTCTAGACAAAGCATTGCCTGCCCTACGCAATCAATAATCTCCAAGAATTTTAATGGTCTACTTCACTCTCGTACTTTTTGCGTTGCACAAGATTAATAATCCATGGCCATGGCGTTATAATGACCATCTTGATGCATGTTCTACGGCATTAATTAGCGAGAATCCATGTTTATGTAGGGATCTGCTAGTAAATGTCCAATTATTTGGAGAAGATTGGCCATAAATAGCCGGTGTGACTTCCCCATCCTCACAAACAATGACACATTTGGTATACTTTTCCTTGGCACCAGCAGCAAGTGAGACAACATTTGTCAGCGCTGTAAGCGTAGCTTGTCAATAAAACATTATGTAAAGTTCAAATCAAGCTGTCGCTTCCCGAAGAAGAACTTTTGATACGGTATAGATGATTGTATGTATTGTTTACGTGTTTATCTGCATCTAGTTTTTTTTTATGCAATCAAGGAGGCAAACGAGCTCACGAGCCACTTGATGGGAGCTGGTCATCGTCGCCCATGGACATGGACTTTTAGAGAACCCAAATTTTTGAAGAACCCCATGTCATAGCGCAAAGGAAATACTTCAGGAGGAAGATCATTCCACATCTTGCAGGTTCAAAGAACGAACGAAGAGATACCTGCACGGTCTTACAATGCCAGGCATCTAAGATGTGAGGATGGACTCTACTCCTTTAGCGGGAGGTGCGATGGTGGAAACGAAACGATGGCAACAGTTCGAAAAACGCACTCCTCATAAAACGGTAGAACACACACAGAGACCCAAGATTTCTCCGCAGGCTAAGGGGCTCCATACATCCATAGTTACTCTCGAATTCTTTCAAATTCAGTTGCGTTAAAATTAAATTATGTGTCTATTCTTTATCGTAGTATTCAAATCGTTTTACTGCAGACGGTTTACCTAAAAGAAAGTGGGTACCGTGAGTCTATTAATACAGCAATAGAATCGGCGGTGTAAAAGTTGCAATGCCGAAATTCCCTGGCTCTCTCTTATTCTACTCTTGAAACCGAAAAATGCTTTACGGTCTTTCGCTTATATTTTTACCGCGTATTTCTAAACAGGTAAGTATTTACTCTACTTACTTACATCTATTGGCAAGTCACAGATGCAATAACGGTAACATTTGACCGTGCCTTTGTTTGTTTATGCGTATTTAAAATGCCTCCACTGTTTGAGAATCCTGCCATTTGTGAAGTACGCGCTGTGATTCGTTTTCTTAGTATATTAAAGGAATGAAAGCGATTAAAATTCATCGTCAGATCTGTGAAGTGTATGGACAAAACATTATGAGCCTTAAACGGAGATAGAGTTTATAAAGGTGGCCTCCAGAATGTTCATGACGAGGAATGAAGTTGAAGTACTGAAGGTTTGGTGCAGAAAGTTTATGAAACTGGTAACTTGATCACGCTTGTGTGTAAAGCCCGATTTAGCGCCCAGTGACTGAAACATGTTTCTGCATTTGAAGAAGCATCTCGGTGGCCAACGCCACGATGACTATGGTGGTGTCAAAACAAGATGACGGGATTAAAAAACTGATACATAAATGCCTTATTGATGGAAATTACGCAGAAAAATTAATTAAAGTAAAATCTTGCGTGTAATATTAAAATTGTTCCGAATATGACTTGTCTTTTTTTATTTCAAAACGGTACTTATTTAAAAAAAAACACGCCTCGTATATCGTTGAAACAAGTATTGATTCACCAACGTCATCTACAGTTATTCACATCAACTGTTGGTTTCACCTATACTCACCCGTTGATAATATAAAATCGATTTTTAATTTGAATTATCTTGAATAA